CTGTGGATTAATGCTCTGGACTACAAAGTCAGTTTGAACCAAAAAGTTGGCAGTTCAAGCTCACCATCTGCTCTATGGAAACCCTACACAGGGTTGCTATGGGTTGGAACTGATTTGACAGCACTTAACAACAACATACCAGTTTTATATACTCAATTTAAGATTGCTGCCTTCTGCATACCCTGCTTCCACCTTTCAAGGCCACTGCAACTGCTAACCAGGTTCCTGGTGGTGATCTGAATTGGGAGCATACAATGATCTAGAAATGCTAAGAGGAAGAATGGAGAGGGCCCAAGGCACTGCCAGGATAACACATGTGCGCCTGGCTAATTCCAAGAACTCTAGATTCTTCTAGCAATGCTAAAATGTTGCTGTTAAATGCTGTCGAGTTGGTTCCAACTCACAGCAACACTGTATAGGGCTTCTGAAGAGTAGTGGGTGGATTTGAACTGCCTCCCTTGTGGTTTGCAGTCCAGTGCTGATCCCACAGCCCCATACCAGATGTTGTTGTTGTTGTCAATTCCGACTCATAGCGCTCCTGTATAGGGTTTCAGCAGGGTTTGAGCTGCTGACCTAGTGGTTCAAAGTCCAGTGCTGATCCTACAGTGCCATACCAGGAGTCCATACAAGATATTTACTATTAATCCTGGTGTGGTGCTATAGGATAAGCACCAGACTGCTTATCTTAAGGTTGGCAGTTCAAACCCACCAGCCATTCCTCGGAATCCCTATACAAGGTTGCTATGAATCGGAACTGACTCAGCGGCACTGAACTATAAGCACCACAATCCAATGGCTCAGTTGGCTTAGACTGTGAGTCTGTGAAGATGCACCTTACCTGAGAAGAAGTTGGCTTAGACTGTGAGTCTGTGAAGATGCACCTTACCTGAGCACATGGGTTGCTCTCAGGTCTGCCTGTGGCTAGAGTACCACGTTATCAGATTTGAATCTCAGGCATGCCTGCACGTAAGTCTTTCCAGATACCCATTCCAACAGAATATTTTCATCAGGAATCAGAAACACATTTTCCTTGGTTTTTGTTTTGACAAAAAGAGGAATGAAACAATTTAATACAAATATTTGAAAATTTCCCCTTCAATTTTCTACTCATTCATTCTACTAACAACTATTTCCTGCACACCTACTACGCAGTAGGCACTGGTAGGGGCAGAGAGAAAAGTGCCCCTTTACAACAAACTGCAATATCTCATGTTAACTGTGTTCCCCATGCCAACCCACACAACTATCCAGCACTTAGCCCCACATGGAACTGACATTCACCTGCACAACACCTGTTTTTATTATTTACAAATATAACCACAGAATACAAAGAGCACTTAATTCTATTTCTATGAGAGAGCTTCAAAAAGATCATGGGAAAAATAACATGAAAAAGTAATGGAATTTTTCCACAAATTTTTTGAAGCCTCCACATATTACAAAATTATATCAATTAACACCAATTACTGTGGTTAGCTATTTTTAAATGTTATCAATTCAAGAACTGAAGGATCCAGCTTAGGGTTTCATACCACTAAAAGGATAGTCACAAAAAGTATAGGAAACTGAAAGTAAAGGAAACAAAGTAAATTTCATCTAGGGATTCAAAATCTCAGAAGAAATAAGAAGCAGAATCTTCCAGATTAATGGTAAAGAGTTGAAATCTACAAATGGAAATCAAGAGAATTTCCAAAGATTATCAACTAAACATAAAATAAGTGTTATGATATATGTTGTTGTTATGTGCGTGGAGTCAGTTCCGACTCATAGCTACCCTGTACAGGGTTTCCGAGGCTATAAATCTTTACGGGAGCAGAAAGCTTCATCTTTCTCCCACGGAACAGCTGGTAGTTTTGAACTGCTGACTCTGAGGTTTGCAGCCCGATTCATAACCACTACACTACCAGAGATCCTTGTTATGATATATAGGGTTATGCAAAATAAAAGATGATAGAAATATTGACTCTTTTGTTTCTTCCCTAATCCAAAGTACCCAGGAAAATAAAGCAGGGCAAGTGTTTTCAAGTTTTCATTCTTTAACCAAAATGTAGCAATTTACCCACCAGTCTAGGGAAACAGAGCAAATCAATGTCACATTTTCACCAACCAGCAAGAAAGCTGTGAACTCCAAGATGTCACTATCATCTGATCCATCTATCCATTTCTATCACTGCACTTTATTGAGTAGTCTGAATTACTTGCTTGTACTTTTTATTCTCCTTTGATAAGCATTTTCAGATGTAGAAAGGCTTCCTGTTGACTCTAGTATATGGTTCTAGGGTCCGAAGTCCAATATCTTCACAAAGTTAAGAAAACTTAACTTTAAATCTAACTATAACTGTTGCTGCATTTAGGCAAATTATTAGCATCTTTAACACCTGCACATCAGTTTCTCAAAGACATATCCTGGTGACAAGTAACAATATGAGGGTGAGTCAAAAAGTAATGCTAGAAAATCAGAGAAACCGTTATTTAAAAAAAGTATCAAAATGTGAAGTTATTATATCGAGATATATCCTGTGATCGCGATCTAAACACTTCTGAAGGGAGTGTTTCCATCTCTCTAACCTTTCCCAAGGAGTCCTGGTGTGTTGCTGTAGGATTAGCACTGGATTGCAAACCACAATGTGGGCATTTCAAACCCATCTGTTCCTGGGAAACCCTATGTGATATGAATTGTAACCAACTGGACAGCACTAACAACAACCTTTCACAGAAGAATTCTGTGTTTTTTATTTATACCATGTCAAAACGGTAGTTTCAACATCCTCGAGAGATTCAAATTGTGTTGTTCCTTTCAAATGTTCTTTGAGTTTGGGGAGCAAAAAGAAATCTGAAGGGGCAGGATCAGACCTGTCAAGTGAATGGGGCAATGTTCCCCAAGGAAATTTTCATGCAACAGCCCTTGCTACCTTCAAAAAATGAGCTTGTCATGATGGAAAAAAAATGACCACGAACACCCTCAGCAAAACTTCCCTGGCCATTTTCTCACCAATGCAGCTTTCCGTTTTCTCAAAACTTCCTCATAAATTCCTGTGATCACCTTGTGTCCTTCAAGAAAATCTAACAAGATTATCCTTTTGGAATTCCAAAACATAGTTGTGACCTTCGGAGCCGACCTCTCCATGCTGCAGATCCCCTCGGAAGTCACTGTTTGGGTTGTACCTTGCTCTCTCTATCATATTGGTAAATACATCATGATGTATTCCATTCAATTGTGTTCACTAATTTTGATCTTGCTTAAAAAATTGTTGGAAAGATCAACTCTTTGAACTAGCTGATCTTCTCTTAACACTTTTGGTACCCACCCATCCAGCCAAATGTTAGCTGAGGCCAAAGAATTCACTCAAAACTAAAAAACACTGAACCATATGAGATCCTAACTTGAGTAGTGCTCACATCAGTGGTAATTCTATGGTCTTCTTCCATCAGTTTCTGGATTTCAGCTACCCTTTCCTCATTTGCCAAGGTTGATGGTCTTCTCTCTCTCCCTTGGCACATCTTTGAGGTCTTCCTGACCTTCCTTAAAATACATGATCCATCTAAAAAAACATTGCTGTATGTGGGATAGCATTCCCGTAAAGGTGTTGCAAAGCTTCATGTCCATTTGAGTTTTGTTAAAAATGTGGTATTAGCCTCAGAGTCCGTTTTTTCTTGGCATAAAAAGCATCTTTTTTTCTAAATGCACCCCAATGGGACTAAGACAAGTGTATTACTGAGAGAACTTGTCTGTAGTCATCACACTGATTGCAGACACTCTTAAACACATTTTGTATGGAAGAAACCTATGAATGTTCTATATGAATCTCTAGTTGCAATACTTTTTGACTTAACCTCAGTATATGTAAGTTTGCATAAAGTTTAGTTCAAAGGTCCTGCATACACTCTAGAAACATTTGTAATACACAAGCACACTGAGATCTCTAAATCAATATTTTAGAAAAATTAACTCAAGTGAAATTTATACATGGATTTACAACACAAGGAGTATAGATGTGGTTTATAAACAGCAAGACTAACTTTATCGGAATCCAGATCTATAAAGTCCCAGGATTTAACAGCTAAAAGACCCTTTTCAAGGAGGCAAATCAAACTTCAAAAGGAAACTGGCTGGGTGGGGATGACACTGATACCTAAGCCTAGGTTTGCTAAGTAGCAGCAGTACTAAGCATCTTTCATTCTCCAAATTATAAATTCCTCGCCAACCCAAATGATGACCTGGCTTTTTCGGAAACTAACGAATAATTCCTGAAGACTAACTCTGCTCTGTCCTTTCTACTCTACCTCCTCCAGTATCCTTCTTCCCCTTGTCCCCCTACCAGAAGTCGTGCAGGTAACAGAAGTCTGATTAGAAAGAATCTCTTATCAGATCCCGCAATCAGGCACGTAGATAGACAAATGCTCACATTCATCATTAACTGCAACACTACGGTTCGCTTTTAATCGCGGGGCCATCACACCCGGAAATGAAATCTCAAGTACAGCCCACTTTGGACTACCCGATCATTTCCTCAAGTTGTGCTCCACTGCCAGCGCCGGGTGCATGACCCAGAGGAGCCCGAAGAGCCCCAGGAACCCAGCCTGGGCCCGGCCACCCCCGCCTCCCGGCCGCAGGTCACCCGCGTTCTCAGCCAAGAGGCGGGCCCGGCAGGCACCCAGGGGGCGCGATCTCGCCGGGCCGCGGTAACCGGCGCTTGGCGGGACACGAGGGTGGCACCGGGCGTCTACGCGGACCGCGCCCAGGCGCGAGGGCGATTCACTAGAGGGACCTGGAGACCCTGGGCGTCCCCGGGTAAGGCCCGCGCCGCCGGCGGCCCGAAGAGGCGACAGCCCAGGCCACGTCCCCTCAGTCTTGAGCCGCGCGGGGACTGCTTGGGGTACCGGTGCCCGGCTCCTCAGGAAGGCGCCCCGGCCCCGCCCCGCGTGCCCACCAGCACTTTCCCGCCGTCGATCCGGGGCGGGGGTCGAACGCACGCCCTCCGCGCCTCTCACCTGCCGACCCGCCGGGCCCTACACTCGCTCCATGGCCGCCGGTGCGGTGCGGTGCGGTGCGGCGCGGCCCTGGCCGCCCCCGCCGCCTCCGGGGAGGGGCAGCCCCACGCCGCGCTCACTGGCCCCAGCCGCCGCCGCGATTGCGGCTCCCGCCCATCCCCGGCCGGGCCATTCCCTGGCCTCCTCTCGCCGCGCTCAGCCGGCCGTCCCCCCTCCTCCGCAGCGCCCGACTGTTGGTACCGTCCTAACGTAACGCCTTTCCCGCGACCAATCCCAGGGCGCACTCGGCGCGGCCCCGCTCCCGCCCTCGGTGGGCGGGTCCTTCCTAACGCTCTCGGGACGGCCCCCTTTAACCCTTCCCGTCCCGTCCCAGACACACTTGATTAGCGCCTGCTCCGCCCCACTTACATAAACGGACCTCTCAAACTTCTCCAATGCCTTGCTTTTTCCTTCTTGCTCTTACGCAGTTTCCCATCTTGTGCTCCTTTGATTTGCTCAGAAGTCTGCTGGAGGTTTTGCCTATCTAAATATATCCCTTTTGCCCTAAAGAGGCCAGCCAGCCATCCTACACGATTTTCTCTTCCTCCAGACCAGAACGCAGCTCCTGGTTACATCAAATTAACAAAATTGTAATTCGTTGCCTATATTATTAGTTGTCTAACAGCTGTCTCTTGCAATAAACTTAAGGCCCACGAGGGCAGGGTAGTTGAATCGGGTCTCCAATGTACAAGACCCATTGGGTTACATGTAAATGGGCTGCATGAAAGATTCTTCTTCCCCCATAAGTTCTTTCCTTTCCAATGACTCCCTACAGAGCATCTGATTATACTACATAATGCATTCATTCATTCACCATCTACAAAGCTTGGAGTTAGTGTTCCTGATCCTGAAATATTATAACACATGCTTCTCCAGGGGATAAGATGTGTGATGGGGGAAGGCCCAGATGGTACTTTCTTCAGACTGCATAGTTCATTCAGCAGCGAGGTGTAGAGGAAAGAACTCTTTACTAGGATATTGGACATGTCACTTAGCCTCTCTGAGCATTTGTTTTCTTAGGAAAATAGGAGTTAAGCTTGGGATCTACTTCACAGAGTTGTTACCAGATTTAGGAAATGTGATGGGAAAGTTCTTTGTAAAATGTTGTGTAACAGTTATTATTCATGTATATATTTACTAGCAGAAGATCCTAGTGAAACAATTGGGTTTGACACCAGCCCCAGACAATTTACTTAGGGAGGCAGCCCATCTGCAGGAAGCATTAATCACTGCAAGGAGTATTTGGTCATGTGAAGAAGACAGTGGAAAAGTCTTTTTCTGGATACACACTCACTCCTCAATTATAAGAGCTCTGGTGGGCTGCTAACTGCAAGGCAGTATTCAAACCTGCTAGCTGCTCCAGGGGAGTAAGATGCCGAAGTCTGCTCCCTTAAAGATTTACAGCCTTGGAAACCCTAGGGAGGTGTTCTACTCTGTCCTATAGGGTGGTTGACTCAGAGAAATTTACTTGTTTGTTTTTTCCCCTCACTTATCCACATGGTTAGATTCTAAGGACCAGGTTATGGAAAAACTGGGGTTAGGTAAAAATGACCCAAGCCATGGTATTTTCAATAACCTCATATGCATGCGAAAGCTGGACAGTGAATAAGGAAGACAGTAGAAGAATTGATGCTTTTGAGTTATGGTGTTGGAAGAGAATATTGAAGTGCCATGGGCTGCCAAAAGAACCAATAGATCTGTTTTGGAAAAAGTGCAGCCAGAGTGCTCCTTGGAGGCCAAGATGGCCAAATTTCTTCTCTCATATTTCGGACATGATGTCAGGAGAAGGATATCATGTTTGTTAAGGTGGAGGGTCAGAGAAAAAGAGAAAGACGCCCAACGAGATGGATTGGCCAAGTGGCAGCATCGATGGACTCAAATGTGGCAACGGTAGTGAGGTTGGCCCAGGATCAGGCAGTGTTTAGTTCTGCTGTGCATAAGGTTGCTATGAGTCAGTACCGACTCGATGGCACCTAACAACAACAACAACAAGTCCTCCTGGGCAGATGAGTCCCACTTATCTTTAAGGATTTTCAGATAGAGGGGGACTCATGGCATCTGCAGGCATCCCAGTCCAATGCTTATTTTCACATCCATCAAATCTTGCCATTCCTTCCACTTAGCTGCAGACAGACATCCTCCTCTATGCCCTGTAAAGGAGATCTGTGACCTCTGTGTTAAAGATTTTCGAGCAGTAAGGTTGTTCTTTCCCTGTTTTTTCTTCACAAGGCCACATTACTTTGGTGGTGGTGGTGGTTATGTGCCATGGAGTCGGTTCCAACTCATAGCGACCCTGTACAGGGTTTCCAAGGCTGTAAATCTTTATGGGAGCAGAAAGCCTCATCTTTTTCCTGTGGAACAGCTAGTAGTTTCAAACTGCTGACCTTGCAGTTCGCAGCCCAATTCGTAAACACTACACTCCTGTGGCTCTTTGTAAATGTTCCTGACCCTCCACGATTTTAGTTTCTCCTCCTTCCTCCTGATATCAAAACCAAACCCACTGCAGATTCATAGTTACCCTATAGTACAAAGTAGAATTGTCCCATAGGATATCCAGAGCTGCAATCTTTACCGATTATGGAAGCCGACTGACACATCTTCCTCCCTTGGAGCAGCTGGTGGGTTCAGTCTTTCTGTTAGCAACCAAGCGCTTAAACACTGCACCACTAGAGCTTGCTGTCTTCCTGATACAGGTCTTATTTTCTAACCAATCAACAGCCACTATGTTCTGTGTACTTGCGGGTTGCAGTAATTTAAGAAGGGGATTCTGCCTTCAAAGAATTTACATCACCAGCACATAGGAAGCAGCTGCAAGGAACAGGGGACAGTTAAATTATGCAGCACACACTCTGTGATGGCCCAAACAATCAGAATCCAGGAAAACAATGTGGGCTGGTGTTATAAGTGAGGGAGCTTGAGGTAAGCAAAAAATGGGTTGGAGAATAAAGGAACCAAAGTCAGACAGTGTAACTTGAAGTTGGAGGCAGTTATCCTCAGCAGATGACACATGATGGGAGAATTGTTTGTTCATTCATTCATTTAATAAATATCTATCAAGTGCCAGGTACTGAACTAGATCCAGGCCATGCAAAGATGAAAAAGGCTTGGTGCTCATCAGTGAGAGGCTCACAATCTACTATTGAGAAATAGAATGGAGGGTCAAGTAGAGCCCCAGTAGGACGTCTGAGCAGGTTGCCAATATTCCCAGGATGCTTGGCTTACTCAGTGATGTGCTGTGCTTCCAGCTGTCTTGATCTTTCCTCCCCTTTGCCTGTTTCTTCCCAGTCCACAAACTACAAGACTCTTTGGGACCCGGTTTGTGAGTTGATTCAATCTTTCATTTCCACTTGTGGAGTGCTCATGCAGAGTACTTTTTGTGTGTGGAACCAGGGTAGAAATTTAGCACTCCCCTTTCAGCCAAGCACAGTGCCAGTCTGTTAGTTATTAGCACCAGAGTGGATCCCTCCAGTGGCACACTGTTGTTGTTGTTAAGTGCCGTCAAGTCGGTTCCGACCCATAGCCACCCTGTATAGGGTTTCTGAGGAGAGACTGGTGAGTTTGAACCGCCAACCTTGCAGTTCAAACAGCTTTGCAGTCTGAGGCATTAACCCACAATGCCACACCAGTACTCCTGTAGAATGCAATAATATTTCCTCTGCTTGCATTTATAATCCCAGTCCATCTACGCTTACCATCTGCCCTAAAGGTCCCACTTGCCCTCTGCATACATTCCCTTCTCCCACCCAGCGGTTGTGATCACACTGATTCTTCCTCTTGGGCTCCCGCCTCAGCTTCCACCTGTAAAAAAACGTTAAATAGCTCTCAAATGCCAATTGCTCTAGAAGCCATTCTTGACTTTCCCAAACGTGTGTGCCTTCCCTCTGCTTCTGAGACCCAGTACTTTCTTTGTACCTTGCTTGGGACATTATTTGTATTTAAGTCTTTGGGGGTAGTTTCTAATCCTATTCCACTTCAGTGAACACCCTCAAGGCTGAGGACAGTTCTTTATTCACATCTGTCTCTTCTGTAGAACTAACACTGTTCCTGGCACATGATAGATGCTCAGCAACTCATGAAAGAAGAGTTTTAGGAAGAGCAGGTTTGGCCGAGGCGGGAAATTAGGAGCTCTGGAGGTTTCTTGGCCCGTTGGTCATTGTAAGCATTTTTCTTAACTTGTTTCAGAATTTCCAAGTGTCTCTCTATTGGTAAGCCCAAGAAATCAAATAACAATCCCATAACTCTGGGATGTAAGGGAAGTATGGTCTCATGGTGCCTGCACACACAAACACAAAACACACACATACACACAAATTTTTTTAAGGCAACTAGTATACTCACAATGATGGATCCCACTGAAACAAATTACATTGATTCTACATACAGAAAGTTGAGAGAAACTCTAGGAAAGCTCACAGTTCTAAGGGACACAGAATCTGGGAGAGGGCGACAGTGACAGGAAGGTTAGTGAGTGATGGATCACAAGGATGGTTCCCTGCCTGGAGCGTGTGCTGCAGATTTATCCTCTGCGTTGGGCTCTCTGTGGACAGCTCTCTCTCTGCATTTCTTTCCCAATTGAGCAAACTCCTTTTTCTCATTTTGCCACCTGCTTTGCAGAGCTACCCCCAGCCCTCCCCTTGTTTAGAGAAATGGGACTGCCCACTTAACCCTTCACAGGGCACCTCTCAATGCCAGGCAGCAGACCTCTCAAGTCTCAGCAACTGCTTTATAAAACCACAAACAGGCACACTCAGCTCTCTACCCAGAAATTCAAGGTAGGTGTTCTGAAAGGGATAGAACGTATCAGTTATTTTTGTCACTCTAAAAATTGTTTTTGTTTTAAAGAGAAGATTTATTGAGATATAATCTATTATATCATAAAGCTTATAATGTTATAGCTAACATTGTAAAGAATGCGAATTCCAGAACACTTAATTGTGCTCATGCGGAACCTGTATATAGACCAAGAAGCAGTCATTTGAGCAGACCAAGGGAACTCTGAATGATTTAAAATTAGAAAAGGTATACATCAGG